AAAAAAATATTATTGAGTTGCTGTTTTGTAATTGGCTAATTAGACATCTGTGTTAATGAGAAGTTGAATAAGTGTCCCCAATAAAGTGGACAGTAAGTGTATATCCCCCTCTTAACTCTTTGCTTAGCTCTACAGCCCCGTTCTGTCCTCCTTGGCTCCTCACAGGTCTGGTTCCATTCAGTATCACTGATGTGTTCAGTTGGTCCCATGTGAAAACAATTAGGTTCTCCACAGAGACAAACAAGAAACAAACAAGAAGACTCAGAAAAAGGTGTAAAAATGAAACATATTTAGTAATTAAGGATAAATAGGTCGATGGGAAAACAACAACAAAACACACACTCGGCATGGTGCTATTATTATTATCATGTTTTAATAATTATGCATTGCATTTATGTAGCGCTTTTCTAGACACCCAAAGCGCTTTCCAATTCCACTATTCAGTCACTCTCACATTCACACACTGGTGGAGGCAGCTACAGTTGTAGCCACAGCTGCCCTGGGGCAGACTGACAGAAGCGAGGCTGCCATATTGCACCATCGGCCCCTCAGGCCAACACCAGTAGGCGGTAGGGTAAAGTGTCTTGCCCAAGGACACAACGAGCAGGACAGAGAGAGCAATGTAAAAGATGTTGCACTTAATGGGACAATAACTTTGTTCCACTTGCAGGCACTGTTCTGTTGCATTGGTGCTGGGATACTACAAATAAAAGTCAAAATATTTTTGGTATGTTTGTTATAATTTTAGGAATCATATCATAAAGGAGCCTTGTATACGACAGCTCACACTGCATCAGTATAGCAATGACTCATGGTCATTTTACATGAAAACCAGCTAAAATATCTCACCAATAACAGAAGTGAAATACAATAATAATAATAATAATAATAATAATAAGGTGATGGATCTTCACATGGGTAAATGAGGATAATAGCTTTGCTTTAATATAATTGGATTAAAAGCTCCACAAAAGGCATAACTACTTGAAATATTAACAATGATACATGTTTATAGAAATGTTCTGTTGTCAAGACCTATAAATGTTAATGCATCTATGGTTTGCTGAAACAGAGAAGTTTCCAGCCATGAATATTAAGAATAAAGAGTTTCTCTGATACACCGGCTACATAGGGGATGACAATGTTGTTGCGTCTGTCTGTCTTTCTTTTCCTCCCTCACTGGTGTCTGTTCTTCTTTTCTGTGCCTCTTTGCTGACTTTATGAACGCCCA